CACCGATCCTCTGTGCGGGAATCTCTCTGCTTTGCCCTCTGCACCCCTGTTGCTATGCTCTCCTGCGTGGCTTCAAAGCTTCCCCCCCGCCTACCCCTTGTTTCCACCAGTGAAGGGGCTTCCTAGGGTGTGGAGAGTTTTCCTCCTTCACAGCTCCATCCCAGAGTTGCAGGTCCCATCCCTAGTCTTTTGTCTCTGTTTTTTCTCTTTTTTTGCCCTACGCAGGTACGTGGGTATTTTCTTGCCTTTTGGGAAGTCTGAGGCCGCCTGCTAGCGTTCAGTAGGTGTTCTTTAGGAGTTGTTCCACTTGTGGAAGTATTTTTGATGTGTTTGTGGGGAGGAAGGTGATCTCCACGTCTCACTCCTCTGCCATCTTGAAGGTCCCCCCTAGTTTTTTCTCTTTATATATTTCCTTTTCTTCATCTAGAAACAAACTTACTCTGGTAAGTAGTGGTGAAAATAAAAAGCCCCCAAAATATTGGAGAATATTCATGCTCTCATCTCAAGGCATGAATTCTATGCATTTTGTTTTTCCTAGATATCACTTAAGGGAAACATTTGAATGAATTTGAATGAATTCTTGAATATTTATTGAAGACCTTTTATGAAAAAAACTAAAGATGCCCTGAAAATTTTAGCCATTGCTTATTCAGTTTCATTTTTCTCACACTGCAGTTCTTGAAATGTTAAGTTTCTGCGAAGCATCTGTAAAAATGAGCTTTTGTGGGTCAGATGAAACACCTGAGACCTTAGAGTGCCAGTGAGGACTTGAAGTTGAAGAATCTTAGATTCTATCTGGTTGCTGACTTGATAACAACTTCTAAGTGAGTCACTTCAATGCGTACAACTTGTCCATTTATTTGACGTCTACTGATCTGTTAGGGGCATTAAAGTTTCTTCTCAAATTTACTTTCACTTGGAGTAAGGACCTAACATGATTGTGCTTTATCTCAGCAGTTAACCCTGAAAATAGTTTTATCATCTATAAAAAAAAAATCTTTTAGCAGAAACAAGAAAGACTATTCGCTAGTCATTAATATTAAGGAGAATTGGTAAGCATATGCCTGGTTTCGCTTTACTTACATACCTCTATATTAATCAGATTTCTTATTACCAGTTAATGCTAGATAACCAGTTTTGAACCATCAGACTCAAATAGAGTTTAAAACTGCAATTTCATCACTTGCATAAAGTTTAGTTCACTGTCACACCCATTATTTGATTTGATCTTTACAGGCAGAGCCAGTCTTATATCCATAGTACAAATGAGGAAATCTAGACCCAAAGAGGTTGTGATTTACATAGTCACATAGCTGGTGAATGGCAGAACTGTTCAATTCGGGACTTGAACCAGGTCCTTTTTTATTCGGTCTTTGGTTCTTTCTTCTCTACCATGCTAACTTTATCCCTCCTCTAATAAATACTTTTGTTTTGAGATCTTGAAAGCTGTCATAATTTATTATAGAAATAATAGCTGCTATTTATTTTGCTGCCCTCCCTTATGGGTTATTTTAAAGCATTGATTTCTTTCTTCTCCCTTACCTAAATCCACCCTGTTCATGAAAAAATTATTACCTTATATTTAGGCATTAATGGACTGTTTGTTAGTCATAAAAATGTTGGTGGATATATTTTATAACTTTGGAATGAGAAAAGTGTCTTCCAGGTGATCACAGTTTGTGTATGATGAGATTAAAGAACATTCTTATTCATCACCGGCGTTGATGGGAAATGTGTGTATTCTCTTTCTCTTGTGTACTTTATAGAGTTTTATTAGCCCTACTTGCTGTGGTGAGATACTGTTGTTCTTGCTTACCTTTGTGCTACCTTTTTAAACTTTAAAGTGTTAGGATTAGAAAATAAATATATAAACCCTAAGCTGTTAGGACTTCTAGACTCTTGATTATGTACAAGGTCTTCCTGAGTTGAGTAGGAAGTAAATTATAAGTGGGAACAAATGTGAGTCTGAGTGAGAACATGAGTGGGTGACTTGAAGATTAGAGATGACTGTGGTCTTGGGCATGCTGGACCCTTTAGTGATCAAAGAACAGGTGGTTAAGATGATGAGTAAGAAGGAATAACAAAAAGAAACCAATGAGATGTGGAATTCCCTGGCAGTCCAGTGGTTAGAACTGCGTACTTTCCTTGCTGAGGGCCCAGGTTCAGTCCCTGGTCAGGGAACTAAGATCCTGCAAGCCGCATGGTATGGCCAGAGGCGGGGAGAGAAAAACAGTGAAATGAAAAACAGAACAGCATTAGTTCTGACTTGGAGCTGAATACTTATAAAAGTTACTGAAACCTTATAGGCATACCTCACTATTTAAATAAATGTGCATCTGGAAGACTTACTCAAGTTTCATGTATTCCAATCATTTCGTGCTCAACTTTACCTTGTCCAACGAAGGAATGCTCAGTAAAAGAATCAAGAGTTGAAAATCAAATCAGATTTTGACTTTAAAAAGTTCTCTTTGGGAGCTTAGGTTTTTGTAGCAGTTGATAGATAGTCTTATTTTTCTTTGGCTTGGGAAGGAGATAGGCTCTAGAACTTGAGTAGAGGGAGGCTCTGAGTTAGAACATTTGGACTAATTGGATAATTAATAAGTCTTTATATATTTGATTGGAATGTAGTAATAGATGAGGCACTTTCCAAACCTAAATTGAGAGAGAGAGACAAGGCGGTGTGTGCAGGGCAATGGGAGGGAAAGAAAGGGAGAAAGAGAGAATTGATATGAATAAGACCATAATTGAAAATCTGGGCTGAGTATAGATTTTAGGGTACACTCTATTTTAAAAATTCTTTTTAATGACAAAGTATTTCACCTTCACGATACACTTAAAGATATCCTTTATTTATTCAAATTCCATGCATTTGTGGTAAGGATGGAAGGAAGGAAGGCCTATAGTAGGGGGAAAAGTTCTTTGAAGCAATATATTATATTATAATATTTTTTTAAGTTTAAGTTTTTTAAGTTCATCTTTTTAATTATGAAAGTATTCAAACATATACACAGAAAGAATAAACTTCCCCATAACTTCAGCTCTGTTAAGATTTTGCTCCCAGTTGCTTTGTCCCCTTTTTGCTTCTTGTTCTTTCTTTTCTTTTCTTTTTTTCCCTGAAATATTTTAAAGCACATCCCAGGAATCCTGTCATTTCACCTCTACTCATTTCAGTGTGCATCTCCAAACAATAATGACAGGTCCTTAACTATCCACAATGCCATTATAACATCTAGTTCCCAGTATACAATCCAGTTTCCCCAGTTGTCTCCAAAATATCTTATCTTTGGCTGGTTTGTTCAAATTAGGATTCAAACGAATTCTATTCATATTTGGTTGTTATGTCTCTTAAATTTTTCTTAATCCACAACAATCCGTTCAAACTCCCATTTGTGGCTTTTTGTCCCCATGCCATTGACTGGTAGAAATCTAATTAGTTGAACTGTAGACTGCCCCAAATTCTGGAGTTGGCTGATTGCTTCCTTGTGGTATCATTTAACTTTGTTCTGTAACTCCTTGTGTTTCCTGTAAATGAACTTTTTGGTCCCAGGACCTGTTTATACACTTAAATTATTGAGGACCTCAAAGAGCTTTCAGTTATTATTGATTTTACTATATTAGAAATTAAAACTGAGAAATTTAAAATATTTACTAATTCATTTAAGTAAAACAATCATGAACTCATTGTTATCACAAATTTCTTTAAGAATTAAAAATATCTGTATTTTCCAAAACAAAATTAGTGAGAAGAGTGGCATTGTTTTATATTTTTGTACCTATCTAATGTCTGCTTGACAGAAGACAGATTCTCATGTCTGCTTCTGTATATATTACCTTGTGATGACACACACCAAGTAGCCTATGGGAAACTCCACTGTACAGGCATGAGAGAATGAGAGTGGAAAAGGTAAATGATGTCAGTATTATGCGAATGGTTTTGACCTCATGGACCATCTGATGAAAGGGTCCCCTAGATCACAATTTTAGAGACAGCTGCCCAAGGAGACTTAATTTTAGAGTCAGGTTTGACTTATTTGGTAAGAATATTTCATAGGTGGTGATGTATGCCTCATATTTTATCATTAGGATGCACACCATATCTGTCATGTTATTGACCCTAGGATTCATTGGTAGGCTTAGGTGAGCCATTTTGCTTTTTTTAATAGGGTAGCATACAGTTTCACCATTTTTATCAGTGTTCTGTGTATTTTCAGTTTCTCCTAATTCATAGGAGGAAAATTTCTTCATTATTTAATTTTGAATTTCTTTGATGATTGGGTTCTTGGACACTTTTCCATGCATTCACTTATCTATTTCTTATCAATTTATTTTCACCCATACCTACTTGAATTTTTGATGAATTTGGACAAAATCCTCCTTATTTACTATACTATTTTTTTCCATTCTATGTTGCTTTTTACCTTTGTTTACGCTATTTTTTATATATTGAAGTAATTTTGATATTAGTCAAATCTCATAATCTTTTTCATTGTTAAGTCTGGACTTATAGGAAAATGGAGAAGTAGCATTTGAATTTGAAACCTTATGGAAAAGGACTGTAGGAATCAGCTGCTCTTCTTCCTTATTAAAAAAAAGAAAAGAAAAGGAAGGCCTAGAGAAGTAGAGAAGTTATAGTTTGCCCGTCTTTACACAGTGAGTTGGTGCCAGAGTTGAGACTAGAGACTGACCTTCCCAAGTCTTCTTCCCCTCATTCCACCTCCATTTCTAATAAGTACCTCAGTTACATTTGGAATGAGAATGAAGAACTTTGTCTTTGGTTAAAATCAAAGGCTTTTAATTTTTTTATCCTAAATTATGTGCTTTGTGGATGTTTGCTTCTTACTAGAGTACTATTGTGGCTGTTATACTTAGTGGAAAAAATACTATTTCTTATTCATTTTTATATATTTTAAAATTTAGAATCACTCTGAGAATGTAAAGTATTGTTGCTTCTCAGTTAGAGTAAAAAATGACCTGATTTTGACCACTATTTTGTCTAACAGGAAGCCTGCAGACCTGCAGAACTTGGCTCCGGGGACCCACCCACCATTTATAACTTTCAACAATGAGGTCAAAACGGATGTAAATAAGATTGAAGAATTTCTTGAAGAAGTCTTATGCCCCCCCAAGTGAGTACTGAAGAAAATATGCATGGAAATATTGCCATCTCTTTAAAGTTTGTCTTACCTGGCCGTTAGAGACATTTCTCCTGATTGTACTTGAGTTAAATTGTCACAGCATTAAGTTGGAATGACTAGCACTTCTCTTCATACATTATAATGCTACACAAATGACAGAATAGGCTGCCAGGTAGGCCAGTAAGCCACACTAAGAAAGGTAAGAATCTGATTAAGCTATAGAATACCTTGTGAAAGTAGGTTTGAGACACATGAGATAGGTCAGGAAAGACTGGTTATTTGAGGTCCCAAAATGAGAGAGAAGTTTAGGGAGAAGAAAAGATGGGGAAAGACTGAACTGAACCCAGCCAGAATATCTAAGCAGGAGTGTGGTACAGGTTGCTGGGAGATTTCCTATCAGGCCATTTTAAAGGTAACTTTCTGAAGCTACCACCCAAGGGAATTAACTTTTTAGATTGTGTCCCTGGGATTCCATTTTTATTTATGTATTTCTTTGAGGTATTCTGGATCACCCAGTCTTGCGTATTAGCCCACATGGTTAATGATTTTAAAGTACTCAACTATTTACTATATTGTGAGGTGTAGTTGAGGAATAGATGTACTGTAACGACAGTTACCTAAATTGCAACTATTCATCATAATGTAATCTTGGCATAGGTTCAAAGCATCATTGGTTTCTTTTAGGTTTTTCCAGTTTCATTATCCTGAAAACTGGAATGTTTCTTCTGGCCCAAACCTTTTCTTGTTAGTTGTTTTTCACCCTCCATATATACAGATAAATTTCCCTGAATTGGGATTAATGGGTCAGAGAGTTCTAAAATAATAGTTAATCAGTATTCATTCCTTCATTCATTAGTTTATCCTGCAAACGGTTACTGGGCAACAAAGCCCTATGGATGTCATAGTTAATAAGATAGTTCCTGCTCTCAAGAAGTGCAGTCAAATACGTATGAAGAGATAGTGGTGCCGTGGGAGAGTGAGTAGAATCAGAAAAGGCTTTGTAGAAAGAGATAACACTTGAACTGAGCTTTAACTGAAAAAAAAAAAAATGTGGCCTTTAGCAGGTGAATGAAGGGATGACAGATGTTCCAAGCAAAAAATAATTTTGAATAAATAGTGTTTCTTTGGGGGACCTAAAGCTGTGGCTGGAGCGTAGCATGCAGGGTTGGGGATGGTAGGCAGGAAGGCTGCCAGGAGACATATGAATAATGACACCTCTGTCTACAACTAGCCCATCTTCAATTGTGAACAGAATTGCCCTCTGTTTAGCAATCTTATACTAAGCTTAAAATTCATTTTCTTTTTTTTTTTAAAGCATTGACTAATTTAATCCTCACATCCACAGTGGCATTGGTACTTTTGTTTTTAATTAATTAATTTATTTTTGCTGTGTTGGGTCTTCGTTTCTGTGCGAGGGCTTTCTCTAGTTGTGGCAAGCGGGGGCCACTCTTCATTGCGGTGCGCGGGCCTCTCACTATCGCGGCCTCTTTTGTTGCGGAGCACGGGCTCCAGATGCGCAGGCTCAGTAGTTGTGGCTCACGAGCCTAGTTGCTCTGCGGCATGTGGCCTAGTTGCTCCGCGGCATGTGGGATCTTCCCAGACCAGGGCTCGAACCCGTGTCCCCTGCATTAGCAGGCAGATTCTCAACCACTGCGCCACCAGGGAAGCCCCAAAATTCATTTTCTTAATCGTGTATTCTAAAGCTTATTCTCTGCCTTCCTTCCTGTCTTTCTAAGACCCTCAAACTTCTTTTTTTTTTTTAATTTTTATTTTTTTGGGTGTAGCTGCTTCACAGTGTTGTGCTAGTTTCTGCTGTACAGTGAAGTGACTCAGCCATATGTAAGCCTCAACACTTTTTTATCTCTACTATCCAGGAGTCCTAACCTTCCTTCCATCCCTAGTAAAGTTTCTCTAGACCAACATTAATAAAACCATATTTGTCTTTTCCTCCAGGCCATGTATATAGTTAGAATACTGATAAATTGAAACTGGGATCCTTGTAAAAATATGAATTGAAGCTGTATACACATAAGTAAGGAACTATTATGAACATGCATTCAGCTTAGTAGAAATAACTTTTCAGATATTGTTTTGCATCATAGAACCTACTGGATCTCTTTTACTCTTTTTATGTATGTATGTATGTATGTATGTATATTTTACCCTTTTTATTCTTAAAGTCTGTCAGCTCTAAGGAAAGCTCCATATTTGCCATCTTATCCTCAGACACTAATGGAAGTGGTCGTCCTCTCATAACTGATGATCATTGTGTCAACATTAAATTATAAATAGAGAAACAGGGCTTCCCTGGTGGTGCAGTGGTTGAGAGTCTGCCTGCCGATGCAGGGGACACGGGTTCGTGCCCTGGTCCGGGAAGATCCCACATGCCGTGGAGCGGCTGGGCCCGTGAGCCATGGCTGCTGAGCCTGCGCGTCTGGAGCCTGTGCTCCGCAACGGGAGAGGCCACAACATTGAGAGGCCCGCGTACCGCAAAAAAAGAAAAAAAAAAATAGAGCAACAGTTTGAATGACATTCATTCTCTTTGAAGGAAGTTGTATGTTGTTTTAAAGCATTGTCTAAAATGTTTGTTGTGTAAATCCTTCCAAGGATATTTACGTTTTTGAAATCAGTATGCTGATAACATTATATACCATTTCAGTAAAATGGGCATTTTCTCATATTCTCTTCTAGCCTTCTTCTTCAACAATAGCAGCAATAACAGCAACAAAAATAATTTTCATTATTCTTTCTTATTTTTCTCAGAGGGAATAAATATTAACAGAAGTAGTAGAACTAATATCAAAATATTCAATTTTTTTGGCATCCAGTACTCTGTAAGACACCATAGCTTTTTGAATTGGACCTTGAAAATAAACATTTTCACATTGCTTTTTTTTGTTTTCTGTTTTTTTTTTTGGCTGTGCCATGTGGCTTGTGGGATCTTAGTTTCCCAGCCAGGGACTGAACCTGGGCCCTTGGCATTGAGAGCACAGAGTCCTAACCACTGGACCGCCAGGGAATTCCCTCATTTTGCTTTTCATATAGAGAAAATTTAGCTTCATTTCATTTGGGCATATTCATAGAGATACTCTAACCAGGAATGATCTTTTCTTTTGGTTTAAATAATTTAATTTAAAACTTGGAGATCTTTCTGTTATAAAGGGTTCATAATCCACTAAATTCTCTCTGTGGTTAATTTTCCTTGTTTTTATGTTGAAGTTTATATTCTGAAGAGTTTCTAAATAAAGTTTAAAATTTTACTTTATATAGAAGGGAGTATTTTTGATGTTACTAATGCCTCTGCTATTATTAACTAACATTCAAGTGCTAATTATGTGCCATGCACTGTGCATTATTTTGTGGATTATCTCAGTTCTCTCAAAGACTATGAAAAAACTGAAGATGAGTAATCCAAATAATTTGTCCAAGATTTCACAGTTCATGGTGGCAGAGCTGGCATACTTACTTTCAAAGCCAAGTAAAAACAAAAACCTATGTTTGACTTTTGTAAAAGGTAAAATGTGAGTCTTTAATTGTAATTGTGCTTTAGTGAGTACAAAATTGAAGGCTAGCTCAAGTTTAGAGGAAGGGTAGGTAATATAAAAAGCAAAGGTAGTTTGTTTTACTGTGATGACCAAGTGGGACTGAAGGTGGTTTTCAAACTTAATTTAATGAATCCTTTTTTAAAAGTAGGTGAGGTTTAACTTCTGTTGAGTTTTTATTTATATGCATTGGAACAGCATGTTTGGATCGGGAGTACCTTGCCCTTAGTGGGCTCTGTAACGCATAATGTGAAATGCGGATCAAACAGCATATTCTCTGTCATGCAGAATTGCTTCTAGAGGATGAGAGGAGGAAGTGTTTCTGGGACCACCACATACATTCTTCTTCCTTTCTTCTGTTCTAGGGCAGCCAGGGGCTGTCTGCCTTTTCTCTGTAAGATAAGGAGGTCTTCAGGTCCTTAGCTGACCCTACTCACACTGATTGTAAGCCTTCTTGCTTCCAGATAGGATGAGGACAAAAGGCAGAAGAGTTGTACAAGCTGGTGGACTAGAATCTAGCATTTCTAATAACATGTTTTTGGCATTTGATGATACTGAGAACAGAGGGGTTTTTATGTGAGCATTTCTGATTTAATCATGACAAGTACAAATACAGGCAACTGTCTATTCTAGAGTTGTTTAGAATTTAGAGACTAATGAAAAGATAAAATCAAGGAACTTTTGCTGGTCTAGGTAACTATAGGTTTTAAAGAAGAAACTATCTTTCTTCTCTTCTGGGGATATTTTTTTCAGTTCCCCTTGCTTGAAAGAAGGAACTACTTTGCCCAAAAAAAGCTTTCAAAAAAACTTGGAAATTTGGGTTTTTAACTGAAGCAGGCTTGTATACTTGGCTAACTTACTGATAAAAGGATAGAGGAAGCTAGATAATTTTGGAGAAGAGTTCTATAAACTGTTGTTAAGCCTTTTTTTTTTTTTTTTTTTTGTTACGCGGGCCTCTCACTGTTGTGGCCTCTCCTGTTGCGGAGCACAGGCTCCGGACGCACAGGCTCAGCGGCCATGGCTCACGGGCCCGGCTGCTCCGCGGCATGAGGGATCTTCCCGGACCGGGGCACGAACCCGTGTCCCCTGCATTGGCAGGCAGACTCTCAACCACTGCACCACCAGGGAAGCCCGCCTTTTTTTTATTTTAAAGAGAAATATAACGAAACTTGAGTTTACAGGGATAATTTAATAGACTGTATAACCACACTTTATTCTTACATTAACACAAGGAAGGAGAAAATGTTTGAGATCTTTCTTAAAGGATGGAAGTATTCTTAGCTAGTCTACCATTAATAATAGTCCGTGATGTAATACAGGATGTGATAAAGGACTGATCTGAAAGTCTACCCTGGATGCACATGTCTATTCTGTTGTTGACACATAGCCTTTTATTAATTATTTGCCTTCCTTTTGTTAAATGTTTAAGTGAATGCTCATAATAATTGAAAAGTATTGCTTTATCAAGCAGTTTGCTAAAACTACTAATAATGAATTATTAAAATCCAGTGTTTGGGGGGAATGCAAAAAAAAGTTGACAGCTGATTTTGGACCTACCAGTTTAGCATTTGATTTATCTTTTAGAACGTGATCTTTAATAAAACAAAAACAAAACAACACTGGACCTGGGGACAGGAGATGTGAGTTTCAGTTTGACAATACTTTTAACTAGTCCAGTGATTTTGGGGCCAACTATGTAAGCTTTCTGGAATATAATTTCCTTTTAGGCAAAATGAGAGATTGAGGTGAGTGGTCTCTTGTAACTATAGTATTGTATGCACTAAATTAATAGTACAAATTTAATTGTCTTGGAGGAGGAGAATAGGGCATGTTTAACCTGCTTTAGAGAACACTGTTTTTCTTAAGAATTGTAACAGCATCTATTTCCATATGAATAAAGGATATGCTGATTGCAAGTCTTTAATTTTTACCTGTTCATTAAAACAGATCTCTAGTAAGCATGCTTCTATGTGCTGATCATTACAACCCCAGTACTTAGTACAATTCCTGACACGTGGTAGATACTTAATATTTAGAATAAATGAATATATGCATGAATAATGAATATATAAATAATCTGTAATTCAAGCCTACCTTTCTATAAGTTATTATGAGAATTATGAAGTTAACTTCATTAGAAAAAGTTGGTACTGCTAAATATTGGTTGGGGAAAAGAAGTAAATCTGGAAACTTGGCTAGAGGAAGTCATAGATATATTGAAGAGGCACTTCAGTATATTTTGTTCCTTGCACTATTTTTTGTTTGGAATGAGTCAGTGAAGGTACTGTATTATAAGCGGTGGAAACATTTAAATTAGAGGCTGGCTGTTTTCATAGTCAAGGGAAATTCAGGAATGTTGAAGCTGGAATTAACTGTTTCAGCTCAGGCAGGGAAAATAAAAAGAGAGAGAAGGTAAAGTTTTCTATAGTTAGCAGGAAAAAAAATACATATATATACACACATACACATATATATAATATACACATGCATACACACACAGGTGAAATTTACTATAATCATTCACTGAAAAGCTTGTTATGTAATTAATTTCATTTCTAATTATGAAGAACTCTTTAAGCTTAAAAATAGATATTAAACAGGAAAATAACTTGAGCATGTAGATATTTTATATTCTCCTTACCAATATAGTACTATGTCTAATTTAGGAGATGTATCTTTTCTTGAATTTAAAATGGCAAACGTAAAAGATACGAATATAAAAACTAACCTGAAACTACAGCTTACAACTGAACAGATTTTTTTCTAAAAATACCTCACTTTCATTTTTAATTTAAAGAAAAGTAGTAAGACAGCATCTTAAAATATATGAATAAATCTAAACTAGTTCAGTGTAAGATTTTTTCCATAGTCTTACCGGCCCCCAGCCCGTTTTGCAGGGCTTTTAAGCTGATCAGTCTTCCCTAAAGTGGTGCTCAAGAGTCTGGACTTCTCTAGTCCTGACTCCCTGGAGCTGATACAAGCTCTGCTGAAGGGAGAAGTAAAGAATTGGGCTTTTTCACATGTATTTTCCAATTTGAGGAAGAAATAAACATTGGGTATGTGTGTTTGAAAATTTAAGTATATGACATACACATTTGTGTGTGTTTTTTTAAAAAAGCTGTTGTGTCATGAATGTCTTTTCTCAAAGTAGAAAGACTTTGTAACAACACAACAGAGCACTTGTTAGCAAAATTCCTGATGTCTTATTTTTCTGTTGCTCATTGTCACCCTTACAATATTTAATATATGGGAGGTTTTGGAAAATCCTGAGTGTAGGAAAGTGAATGATCAGCCTCCTGCTGTTTTTGTCCTTAATCTACGCTTGGGCAGCTTAGACTCTTCCTCCTGTCAGGGTTCTGTGGTACTGCTTTACATGGCTGGCTCAGTGTGTGGCATACCCAAGATCTGTCTGTTTGGCATTCCTATTTGAGAAGGCTCTACAGTTGAAATGTGGCTAGTGTAACTGAGGAAATGAATTTTAACTTTATTATGATTAATTTAAATTCATATTCAGATAACCACAAGTCACTAATGGCTACCATCTTGGACAATTCAAATATATAACATTTCCATCATCAAAGAACGTTCTCTTGGATAGCTCTGCTCTAGAGTTCTCTTTCCAAGACGCCCATGGGCTTGGCACAAGTCTCTGAACAAGTAGACTGTTTCCCCAGCATTCTAATTTATAAAATGGAGGTGGAGTGTGGATGAGCTTTGGTTGCCAAGAATATTAATATGTGAACAAAAACACTGTGTAGAACTTTGTTTCCTAAGGAAAAAACCCATCTTAAAAATATCATGGAAAACAGATGATGGCATTTCTTAGAGTAATAACTGTTAAAAGATGTCTAGTAACTGCTAGCACAATGGTTTGATTGAGAGAATTTATGCTAATGTATCTTTGGAGGATCTATAATCCGTTATTACATTTTTCATTTAGGTACTTAAAGCTTTCACCAAAACACCCAGAATCAAATACCGCTGGAATGGACATCTTTGCCAAATTCTCTGCATATATCAAGAATTCAAGGCCAGAGGCTAATGAAGGTAAAAAAAACCAAATGATTGAATTAGCACTGTAGAACCATTCCCCCCTCCCCGCAAAAATACCCCAAAACAAAACAAAAACAGGAACAAAGACCAAAAATCCCTATTATGACAGTGATTATAAATGATTACTTTGGAGGCCAGACATTCCCGTAAGTATCAAAAACTGGCTTTCAGAGTTGATCAGAGATTTGAGGATAAACCAGGGTAAGTCCTTAAATTGCTTTTTTCTGTGTTTCTTGCTAGTGGGACTGTGCCTAGCATAAAGTAGATGTGTGATAAAATGTTTATTGAATAAATTTGTTCTCATATTCTTCTGAGAAGTTACCACTAAGGGAGCTATACAGAAAACTATGGCCTCACGAACAGTGGCCTGGGTGGTTGAGGAGGTTGGAATAGGTGGATACAGTGCAATTTAAAGTGTTTCCAAATCTTTGTTTATTATCCGTGCCAGCAACCTGAAATCAGCCTGGGTGGATTTTTGTGCTAATTACCCTTAAGAGCAGTTTTTGGAGTTGCTCTAAGAGAGATTTGGACTCACCAGCCTTCCAAATTTCTCCATATCCTAAAATTAAAATTTTAGTTTCAAGTCATATTTTCATGGTGAGAATTGTTTAGGTAGTACAGATGCAACTTCCTTCTTTTATTTATTAAAAGACACTATCTTATTATTTCATTTACCAAACTTACATATAGTAAAGGGAAGCCTCTTAGAAAGAGGTCCCATTTAATGAACCTTGTCTAAATGTCACCATTCAGCCATTTCCCCTTTTCTTCTCTTTAGGGTGTTAAGCATTGTTCTTCCTGGGGAAAACTATATAGAGAGAGCATTAGTGTTTAATTAAAAGTAACAATAATAACCAAAGAGCCAACTCGTGAAGACACTATAATCCATCATAATTTTAGACTCTTTGGTAGCTTGGGTGGGTTTCTTTGGGTAGAGTTTATGGCAGCAAATGAGCAAGAATACCAAAGGGGAAAAAATATCAGTGCTGGTTAAGCAAGAATAAACATTTAAAAAAATTGAAACATTTGCTGATTTCCTTATGTTATTTCAGTGGGTAGATTTCCAAGCTATTCAGGCTTTTATTTTTTTCTATAGCGAAGGGAAAAAAGGGAAAACCTTAGTGCTCAGGCCTGGCTTATTAAGTGTGTTTCAGTAGCTGCCTTAGTTTGGGAGCAATTTTCCTTAGTAATTGGCTTTTCTTTCTGACTACTGTTTCTGTCTGAGAATTTTATATACTAGGTAAACAGTTATACTGGAGCCCCTCCTATCCACAGACAGTATCTTTTCTGTTCTACCCTCCTTCCTGCAGGTGACTGTTCTTTTTACACCCAGATGCTCTTGCTGCATAGTTCTTTGAACTCTCTTAGTTAAAGTCATAATGTTTTTATTTCTCTGTGTGGCTTTTGGAAACTAGAGGGTGGTTGAATTTATTTTGACACTTGGTGGGGAGGAGAGGGAAATAAAATGTGTTTGCTTAAAAAAACCCAACAAAACCAATTGCTTTGAGGGATGGGATGGGGGTAGAGAATAGGGGAGAAAGTGACTCATTTAAGTATAACTTTGTATTCTATTTTTTCCTATCAATTTGTTACTGTCTTAAGTAGCCACCTACACTTACTGTCCTTAGAATGCTGTAACCAATAAGAACAAACAACATAATGAATTACACAGTGCAGAATTTAGAAGGCTTTTTACATTAAATTACCTATTGGTAAATAAGAATTCCAGTTACCAAGCAACTTCCCCCCACAGTGGCCTGTCACTGCCTTGGGACTTTAGAAAACAGTATTCCAAATCACTTTGGAGCTTAACAGGTCTCCCTTATGTATATTTGTTGCAGGTCTCTTATCTGTCTGTTTAGTGCAATTAAATGCCTTAAATAAGCCTTAGTCATCCACCTCCTAATTCCCCCAAACAATAAACAACTTACATGAAGATGGATTTGTCATTTTACATGGTAAATCAGAGTAGGCAAGCCTTTGATTAGTTTTAAAAACCTATTAAATGTTTTATAAAATCCAATGTGTTTGGACAATTTTAAGACCTTTTAAGAGCTAATTCTATCTAAGTAAGGGATTAGATGCCTAGATGCTATAGCAATTGGGCTAGTGAAAGTGAAAGAGAAGGGCCAATGCTTATATTGGGGTACAGAGTAAGCAAATATGATTTAAAGAATAAAATAAATGAAAGGAAACATAGATAGATAGATAGATAAAACATATAATTCTTTCAATAACATGTCTGAGGTGATTGGGAGTAACAGCTTGTTTTTTTTTGAAGCATTAAAAGAGAAATTAATGGGTAATTCCTTTTATGGGATGGGTTCATTATGACCTGTCCCAGATCTCCTAAGTTTTTTTCAGTTCTGTGATTTCATTCATTTATATAACTTATTAAGCTCCCAAATGTAACTAATAGATAATTTATTAGTCTGTTGATGTTTATAATATTCTTAAGAGATCAGTGAATTTAGCAGTGATGAAATCTGCCGTTATAGCCTCCGAGGCATATTTCATAATGTCCCAATTCCCACTTTTAAATGGAGGCAAGGAATCTTTAGATTCTGATCAGTTCCTTTTTATTCAAGATTTATTCTCCCTCCCTAGTTGCCTCCCTCTCTCCATCCATCTCTCTCTTTCTGTCTCTCTCCGGAAAAGTGTGTGGAATCAGAGGATGGTTGTTCATCATTGTAGCAATGAAACTGCGTTGGGTATTTAATCATGTTTAAATACTTATTACCTCTCCCTGTTTTCCACTGATGTGTTACCTGGCATTTAAAAATTGCTTGTGTAAGATTACCCTTTTATTAAAACTAGCAGTAGCTTTAAAATATAGTTTTGTCCATGTAAGTGCTCATAATTCTTTTCTTCACTGTAAATTATATTTTTCTACAACAGTAACTGTCTTGTTACATTTAATGCTTTTTGCCTTGCGCTTTTACTCATTCAAATTATACAAGTAGTAGAATAATGCATGCTTTTTGAAGAAGTTAAAATAGTACAGAAATTAATAAAATTTCAGTGCCCCTTCTTAGTCATATCATATAAACTCTTCCCCAGCAGTTAGTATGTATCCTTTTTTTCTATGCACACATTGTACTTAAATGTGTATTTATATATATATATACACATTCTTCAGTTATCTTTATCATGTACTATATGGTAGAAATACTTTAATATCAAAATGTAGATCTACCTCATTTTTTAGAAATGCTGCTTAATATTCCATAATATGGATTTTTAGTTAACTATTTCCTTACTGATAGACATTTAGATTGCCTCGTTTTTTATTATGACAAACTGTGCTGCCAGTGTCCTTGTGCTAGATTTCAAATAGGTCAAAAGGTTTTGTTCTCCAAAGACTATAATAGTTTCTATTCCCACTAATGTGAAAGTATTCATTTCCCCATGCTTCTCCCTGGTGTGTTTGTGTGTGTCTGTGTATGAGAGAGAGAGTATGTGTTAATATTTTGATTTTCACAATTAATTTAAAAACTGATCGTATGGCCTCTGGGGTACTTAGTAATTTTTTTGAGAACTTTTGAAATACCTCCTTAGAGATGTGGCATTACTACAGTAGGGGTATTAGAGAATAATAGTGCTACTTTTTAATTACAAAAGACAAGGAGCTAGCAAGAGGGAAGAGATATGGGAACATATGTATATGTATAACTGATTCACTTTGTTATATAGCAGAAACCAACACACCATTGTAAAGCAATTATACTCCAATAAAGATGTTAAAAAAAAAAAAAGAGCTACTTTTTGATGGACTGCTACTGCCTTCTAGTGGTTAATCTTGACATTTTCTTTATTTTAACCAATTTCACATTCCTTTGTGATGGTTTGTCTTTAAAACTTTGTTACCTCGTTTTTCTTTGTTTTGTTGTCCATTCCTTAGTTTGATAAATAAAAATTGTATCAAACTAATTCAGCATTCTTTGTTTTCATTAATATACCCTTTACTCTGACATTCTTTTTTTTTTTTTTTTTTTCCCTGACGTTCTTAACTATGAAAAATCACTAACACTGGTCGAGTACAGCAGTTCAACTTCATTGCAGGTACTTTGCTACGTCCAAAATTATAGAGCAGTAATTGTAATGTTCTGCTAGCTTCTGAATTTTAGTCCATGCCTTACAGCTAGGATCATAAGCATTGTATGTTATAAACCTTGGAAATATAGGATATTTTATTTCTCTATTGGATACTTTTGAGAGTTAATTCAGGAAAAGGATTAATTTACAGTAGATCAGAGATCATAAACTTGCTTGCACTTGTTATACCACTCAAGTGCCGTTTGAGACATTATTTCAGTGTTTGAATTCAGTATTGTCTTCCTTATAGGTCATGATCCTGTTCATTGTAATCTGATCAAAGAACAAGTCCTTATATCTAATATGTGTTTATTTTGTATTCACTGCTTTTGACAGGAAGCATATTGAATCTTTAAAAGTTTGTTCTTTTACAGTCCTGAGATTCTGCTGTCTCCTTTTTTTCTTTTTAAGTGCAACCGTGAAAATTTTCCATCATGCTCTGGACTCCTTACTAACGTAGCTGTTTCTCACATTGCATTTTCTTGTTAATTTATAAACTTTACATTTCAGCTGACTGCATGCATTATTAACAGCTTGTGTGTAATTAATAAAAGGTTATATTTATTGCCTTTATATTTTTGATCTTTTATCTTTAAATGGCTTGATTCCCTGTCACTTCCCCAGTTGCAGTTAAGCCCCCCTAACTCGTCAACTTTATTTTACTGGGTTCTATTGGCCTGTTTCTTAACTATTTTCTCTAAGAAATAAACTAGCTTGATCCTGGCTATGGCTAGAGCGACTTTCTATTAATAAAACAGGTAGTTCTTTGATCTTAATCTTGTTGTCTATCACTTGACATAACACATTCCAATTTGTTTGATATTTACCTAGGTAAAAAATATTACCAGTTCTTTTTTACATTTTTTAAATGGCTACGTGCTCTATAGCAATATGTAGTA